CACTCTAATGGATTCTAAAGTTTACACATTCATCATATTTTAAGATCATCCTTCACTGTTCAAATGTTTACAGTGATTTCTGTCAAATAAAACCATGACGTTGTGTCCTGAGCCACCTTATTCACCAGGTCTGGCATCACGGGTCCTCTGGCTTCTCCCCAAAGTCAAAACGACCACAAAAGGTCAGTGTTTTGGATCAGCTCAGGACACTGAGGCAGAAATAACAGCAAAACTGAAGATGCTCAGGAAAGAGGGCTCCAGAGCCACTGCAGAAGAGAAGCCCGAACCACACATGGGATGAGTGCTTTCAAAGTGAAGGAGGGGCTGAGGGGATTCACAGCAATGTGTCTTTTCCATAAATTAAAAAACATTACACTGTCACTGTCTTTTTGAACACATCTTACATACTGGGTTAAATAAAAGTGTACTATGAAAATTAATTTCTGGTTTTTTCTATTTAGCAGTTATCACTTGGCCACCAGAAAATCTAAAATTACACCTGTGGCTCACACTGTATTTCCATGGCACAGCACTGCCTTTAGGATCCTGCAGCTGTCAGTGTCTATGAAAATTTTATTTCTGGAAAACCAAAGAGACACCCAAATACCGCGGTAGGCACCACTGTGATTTATCATAAACAAATGAGTATGGAACCCTTAGGTTTGCCTGGACCTCTGATGGCTGGCTTCCCATGCAGGGTGCTGGGATTAGCAGGGGACGGAGGGACTGACACACTCACTGGACACCTGAGGGCGCTGTTTCCCTCCCATCCTCTAGGGGACATGCTTGGAACCCACAGAGGCCAGCGGGCTCCTCTCAATGGCATCTGTTAGGTGCACACAGATCCACACAGGGACTTGGTCGATGAAGTTATTGGCTAAAATGGGACTTTTTGTTCTAAGTATCATTTTTCATTCCTCTGCCATTCCATCCACTATTACATAACAGTAAATTGTTGTCTTTGGCAGAGGAATGAATTTCTACAGAATGAGAATCCTCCACAGCCAAACACTAGCACTCACTGAGGTCCAGAGTGGACAGCTGGGCCAGGTTTGGGGGATCAGACATGTGCTGTGTAGACAGAACAGTTGAAAATGGAATACTTTTTCAAATGTTAGGAAGAGGCAGAGAGCTGAGGGAACTCCTGTTTTTTCCAGTTGGTGGCCAGACTTTGGCTCTTGGGCTTCTTCAAAGCCCTTCATTCATTTGTTCGTTCACTGCAGTTCTGGGTTGAGCTCAGCGGCTGTGTCTCTGTTCTTCATGGTTCCCAAAGCCTCTGCTATGCGTCTCAGGGTAGGCCATGATGCTGCAGCAGCCAGACAGGTACAGGCAGGGAAGGGTGAAGTTGCAGATGGCACAGGATCCAGCAAGGGCAGGTGAGGTGAACCCTCAGGATGGATGGCTCGGTGACAGCAACGAAGGACAGAGCCACAAAGGAGATGGCAAGAACCTAAGCAAGAAGCAGGCGTGGAAGGGGGAAGAAGGTGCAGACTTTGGGAACTGGAGAAGCACGTGTTAGTCCCTGGTACCTAGAAGGCATGGGGACGCAGGTAACTCAGGGGACGCATTGAAGATGATAGGGCACCTCCCAGCCTCCAACTCAGGACTATCTGGGACTTCGCCAGCTGGCAGTGACATCTATCTGAGGTCATTGCTCTCTTCTAGTACAGCCCTGAAATCTGATGACAGTTGTCGGGCACTCAGATGCAGACAATGCTGGCTACTTGGTCTAGGGCATCACCCCCACTTCCAGCCCCCTATGTTTTCCAGGAAGATGTTATTTTCCACAGGTGGTTGGGAAAAGTTAATCATGGTGCTGCAAACACTGTGGAAAATGTGTGTCCAGCACAGGCCACGTGAGGCCCTGCCTTCCAGGATGTGATCCCAGTGACAGACCTTCTTAGCGGTCCCAGAAGGCTCAGGCAATCTGGCCACCCCAGGACCCGAACCTATTATGAGTCATTTCCCTGAGCCAGGGCAGACTGGAAGCCACAAGCCCCAGCTTGCTCCTGGTGGTGAGCAGCTGTGGTTTAGAAAGACAAACAAGGGAGGGGAGGGAAATGCTGAAAGACCCGAGGGCTGCCTTTTGGTCACATGTGCCTTCCGCTGGTGACATGAGCTCTCTAATAACCGAGAGTCTAATAACCAAGAGTCAAGCATGCAGTCAAAATTCTCACACCTGATGAAGGGGCTGTTTCTGAGAGACCGGCCCTGGAATCTGGCCACAGCCCACCTTCGCAGACAGTAAGCAGCTCACCTCCGTGCTACAAAGTCCATTCTTTGAGAAAGCTTTTTCTCTGGAGCCCTGAGCTGGAGGATGGATTCTCAGAGCCTTTTCAATTCTTGCACATAGCAATTTTCTTCTCTGGTTGGTAACAATGTGTCTGGCACTGTGATGTTTGCTTAACATCCTTCTCAGCAGCCAGGCTGCCAGCTGTTTGAGGTTAGGCAGCGCCTCTGCCTTTGCTCCCCTGGCCTGGGTCAGAGCCTGGCTGATCACAGACCCTTACACCTAGCACGAGGCACAACAGAAGGGTCAGTGGGTCCCAGGACGGGCTGAGGGCCAAGCATCCCAGCAACTGAGCTCCACTCCAGCTCGGGAAAAGCAGCCTCCAAGAATTACTCCTGAGTATCCAAAGGGCAATTTACTCCAGCCTCAGGATAACTCCACCCCTAGTGCTGGAAACTAACTGGGGAGGGGGACAGGGAAGAAAAGGAAAAAAGAAAAGAAGGAAAGAAGGAAGGTGAAGGATGGAGGGAGAAAGGACATACATATATAGCAACTACACCATTTACATACAACATGTAATATAAATAAATTAAACAATTTAAGCTCTGACAAAAAAACCAAAACCAAAACCAAAACCAAAACCAACTCAACCCAGACAATCACAAATTAAGTAGTTAAAATTGTATAGCCTCTATGTGCACATTTTCCCACGGGCCAGTTTGGACCAGAGTGGATGAAGCAGAGCTCCCCCAGCTCCCAGCGGGTTTAGGAGTCTCACGCCTCCACCTTATAACGTATCCCAGAAATACAATTATATATCCCAGAAATACAAGGCAAGCCCTCTACCCGCTGTCCTGCTGAGACAATAAAAACAAACAAACACTTTCCACAGGGGTGCAGAAAACAGGAACGCATCGGACGTCAGCCTAGGCAGACGACTGGGCCCCATTTGACATCCATTGCCCTAAGAAACCTGCACAGGGCCTGTCGCTGACTGTCAGTTTCTCCTCATACTAGATTCTGTGGTGTCTGATCCAGCTCCACTTCCCGAGCATCAGAAGGTGGTGATCATGGGGTGCAGCCCAGGTTCCTGAGGGCTTAGGCCTGGTCTGCAGGGACCCTAGATTCTCCCCTCCCCTCTTCTGCTCTCTGATGGGGACAAGTCACACAGGTTTGATGAAAGCTGACAAAACCATCTGAGAATTGAGAGTGTGGATGACCACAGAGCTTAACTATGAGCACTGAGAATCGAGACCATCTGTGTCAATATCACTTAACTCTTTCTTTTAGAATCTATTTGCCCAGAATGTGAAGGCTGTAAACCAATAAATAACCTCATTGTTTGCTGCAGGAAGTTTCTCCAAGGCAATCTGTCCTGTTTGCTCTCCTGGGGAAACAGCTCATTTATCAACGAGGAACTTGCCCTGGCTCGCTCCACCAGCCTAGCCTCTGTGCCATCCAGCGGGCTCACCACCTCAGTGATACAGCTTGAAGGACTTCAGCCAGCCAGCCTCCCAGTCCTACAGACCTCCTCCCACCTGCACCTGGGTTGGCTGCTCACAGGACCTCATCCAGATGGTCCCGTTTCAGGGACAAATTTAGCTTTGCTTCAGCAACTGGCTCTGCTGGTGGATTCTGTACAGTCAAGAGCTTACACAATGCACCTGTCGTGTTCTCTTGGAAACGGGGTGCCCAGTGCAAACACATCCTTACCACGCATCCTCACAATTGAGAGTGCTCAGAGCAGAGCAAACACACCCCTGAACACGGATGATGGCTGGGGTAGTTTTTATGTAGTCACAATTTCCTCACTATTTTCCCTCTGGAGACAAGACTTGGAATTTTGAACATCTGCTTATAACAGATTTCAAATGCTCAATTTGCCTCCATTTTTAAATGTTTGTTACATGGTTCCCTATATTTTCTTTTTGTTTGTTTGTTTTTTGGTCTTTTTGAGACAGAGTTTCACTATGCAGTGTAGGCTGGCCTTGAATGCACGTTGTAGCCCAGGCTGGCCTCAAACTTGCAGCAATCCTTCTGCCTCAGCCTCCCTAGTGCTGGGATTACAGCTGTGTGCCACCATGCCCTGCTGGTTCTGTATTTCTTAAATTTTCTACAAACAGTAATCACTAATTTGAGAGGGAGTGAAAGGAAACAAAGCCAAAAGCTATAAGAATGGAGAATGGAATTAATCCCCAAATGTGAATTAGAAAAGATCATCAAGTCTTAACTAAACACACATCCTGTTTAAATGCTTACCTGACTTGGTGAGCAAGGTAATCTACTGCCATTGACATCAATTTCTACAGAAAGGCTGTACAGTTCCCATCATTATGCATGGGTTCCTCTCTTACCACTGAAAAAACTTTGGGGCAGCTGGACCGAATGCACCACAGATAACATTCACTCAGCCAAGGGGAGGCCCAGGCATCTTTGGTTTTGCACTTTGTGCGTTTGTGTGACTCACACCCCAGCGAAAGGCAGATCTAGCAGGTCTCTGGTCCAACTCCCCTCAAGCACCATGAAATCACCCAACTGTAGGGAGGAGCTGAACACACTGCATTTAAAGATGTGGTGGCCGCCCTGGGAGGTGCAGTGCCTCTCTGTGCCCTTGTGGCACTGCAGGACATGGTGACCAGCGTGGGCCATCCCCACAAGTGGGGAGAGCAGGTTCCCCTGCAGCTGCTGGGATGCCCCAGCTCCCTGAGGCCCAGCAGAGGGAAAGAGCTGGTGTCTGAATCCCCAAAGCCCTCACCCCACTCCCCTTTACCTTAAAGAAACTTCCTCGCTTGTCCTGAGCTCGGGTGCCCATGGTCCACGTCTTCCCGGCAAGTCTCTGCTGCACACTGGGGACTCCTGAAGGTAGAGACATTTGCAATGGTTAGCCCAGCCTGTAGGAAATTCCTTTCTAAGCCGCAGAACACTCACAACAACAGTCCTGCCAAGATCTTTTTCCGTCAACAACACAGTGCCATTTATTTCCCACCAAAGCCCTTCCACCTCCTTTCAGGCCAATTTCCTGCCTGTTGCGTTGCTCCTAGACTGTGCCCCACCTCGCCACTCCTCCCCCATCGGAATGGAGCCCAAGCCCAGCTGACGCAGAAGGTCCTGGGGACCCTCGGTGGGGAGCATAATGATGGCTTTGTGCCTATGCTTGACCTTACGCTGAATCCAAAAGAGACTGACATGAGATGTCCCACAGTCCACCCGAAAGCTCAGAGATTCAACGTGGCTGATCACAGCGGGACGGTGGAAGAATGAAGGGCTGTGTCTCCCAGGAAATCTTTCTGCAATGGGCTGAGGTCATCGTGAGCCTGGCCAGCCCCCTCCACAGGCCAGGTCAGCAGGAGGGCACTGAGGCGAGGGCCCTGCATTCTTGGGAATCCCTGCTGGATTGGCAGGCGGCAGCCACAGCAGCACTGTTTACAGATGTCAGCTAGTGTGAGGGACAGCGAGTATAGGGCCTCCCTCTCTCTGTCCTCTAAGGGGGCGAGGCAGGGCTCACTTTGGAATGAGGGCAGGAGAACAGCACAGTCCTGCTTCACCCCTGGTGACCAGAGCTTGGAGTTTGCTCTGCTCCAGCCTCATGACCAACAACCCCTCCCTCGGGGCCACAAAGCTTCCATCTTCACCATGGAGGGAAGCACACACCTGGGTGCAGTGAGAGCCAGAAAGTCCCCAGCTCTTCCCTCCTGGGAGGCTATGCAGGGCCTGCAGTAACATGCCCAAGACCCGCTCACCCCCTGACTACAGCCATCCAAGATAAAGGAAATAGGAAACAGGGTACAGGGCTGGGGTATAGAAACTACGGCAGCCCTGGCAGTTTACTGGGGTCATTTCATTTCCAGCCAGGAACCAAGAGCCAGAAGGACAAAGGAGACATTGAGGCTGGCCTGGGGTCACCTCAGCAAGCAGAAAAGCATAAATCCACGTAGACAGGGCACATACGTGAGCACTGTTCCTCTGCACAGAGATGCACGAGCTGCCTTAGCTCCAACCGGAATCTCATCCAGAAGAAAACAACACAGTGTGTGCCCTTCTTTCCAGAACCTTCACTTCCCTGAGGCCCTGAGCCACAGCTCCATGGTTTTAAAGGGCAGGCAGTGTCTTCCCTGCCTTTCTTCCCTCTTGAGGTCCTGCTGGGACAAAGGCCAAGTTCCAAAGGTCTCCTGAGAGCCACCCTGTTGGCTTCAGAGGCTCAGACTTGAGCTTGGCATCAGAATAGAGCCCAAGCCCAGCCCTCTGAGGTTCATCCTGACTAGCAGAGTGCAGGCTGGAGCTGTTCCACACAGGCTACAGTGCTGTGCTCAGAGCCAGGAATGGGATGGGAATTTCAGGAGCCAATGAACTCTTCAGGCCCAGAAGCACAGACCCTCTTTCCAAATGCGTACCCTGCTTTACACCAAGCCTAAGTCTCTCGCCTGTTTTCTTTCAGACATTCTCGTTGGGGGATTCCATGTGGCTGGGCACATCAGGAATTGAAAAGTGAGAGCCAGGACTTCAGTCCTCATGCAGAACTATGTTTTTTGGTGCTGTTGCAATGTTTTCCATAGAAAAGCCCCTCAATTAACAGAGACACGCAGGGAATTCTGCCTACTTTGGACTCCAGAGTTCTACCAGTTTAACCATCATAGCTGCTGATGCCTGCATACATCTTAACCTCAACTTATCCTCACTTCGATGTCTGGTCTGAATTTATGGGCAGGGGCAGGTGGCACTGTCCCTCCTAGGTGCAGACAGTAGCAGAGGATAGGAGTGCATGGCCAAGTGCCCCAGCAGCTGCCTCCCACAGAAGGGAAGCTGAGGATCATCCCACAGTCCACGCAGATGGTACACGGAGACGACATTACTTGTTCTTAACATACGGGACGGGAAGAGGAAGTAGAAAAGATTAAAATTAGAAACACACTAGTACCAAGTCTCCATGATAAATGTATTCACTATGAGTTGCAAACATGTGCTAATAAAAATACACAACCAAAAGCAAAACATATGCAAATAAAGGCCCGAAGAGCACAGAAGATTATGGCGTATTCCAATAGTTTTCTTCCCAAATCCCAGACACAGCTCACAGCACATTACACGAACACTTCTCCCTTAACCCTTAGTCCCTACCTCTCCCTGCAGACGTCACCTAGGTAACAGCTGGACTGAAAACAAAATGTACTGCAGTTTGAGAAGCTGGAAAACTCCAGACTGAGAGCACTGAAACTCTTCTTGGTTTTTCTCAAGGGTGAAGCAATAGATTTTAGAAAGCTGAGTCCAACATGCCCTGGATCTTTCCAGATATTTACAACACCATTGTCTATACCACAGAAAGACCATCCAGGATGCTGCAGTGGGTGAAAGGGAAAACAGGAAGTGAAGACACCTTGGCTTCCCAGGAGCACCAGGCTGGGTCCATGAGGAGCAGGCCAAGTGCCATGCTGTGCTTTCCCAGTTACTCTAGGGCAACTACTGGGTCCCCAAAGGTTGGTCCTAGGCAGTCCAACCCTTTCCTCTCAAGGTGACCGAGCACAGGTGTAAAGCCACTGCTGTGGCCAACGCACCTGCTGCTGCCTGGCTTTGGGGATTGAAACCCAGACCTCTGGTTTCCTGATCTCATGTTAGACAAGGTTCTCCCACTTCTGCTCCTGCCTAGCCAGTCAGTGCTGGACAGTCTGAGGGGTGTATAAGGGGGGGTCGCTCCACGACAGGGACCTTGTGCATCTCACAGGGCCAAGACATCTCTGTCACTAGGCTGTGTAATCTTATGGGACCACTGTCCTACATACATGTGCTTTGTTATCCATAGAAATGTGACGTGCAATTGTATAGAGGTGTCCCTTTCCTCTTCCTCCTCCTTTTTCTTCTTCTCTTCAGTACTGGGGATTGAGCTCAGGATACACAATTGCATCACCAGCTCTTTTTATATTTTATTTTGAATCAGGGTCTCACTAAATTGCTAAATTGCCCAGGCGGGGCTAGAACTTGCAATCTTTCTGCCTCAGCCTCCCAGAGTGATTAAAGGTGTATACTACCATGCTGGGCTCATTCTTCTCCTCTTAATTTATTTAGCTGAGCTACATTCTTCTCAGTTGGGTGGGAGGAGATAATTATTAGGTAATGATCTTACACATCTGCTGTGTGCACCGGGATATTCTGAAACACCTGGGCACCGTGGCACGGTGAGGGTCAGGTGGCGCACACAGGCAGCCCCTCACATGCTTAGCACTCGGTGTGCTGAGAACCTTGAAATCTGCTCCCTGCAAGTGTCAAACACACACACCTTGTTATTAACTGCTATTAGCACATTGCATAACAGAGCTCTTGGACTCCTCCACAGGAGACTGTGTCCTTTCACAAGCACTGCCCCAGCTCCTGTTTCCTAGGTTCCGTGATTTAGGTCCCAAGCACAAACCCTCACAGAGCCTTGGGAGTCTGGTGTTTGGTGGCATTCAAAACCCTGAGCTTGCCAGGGCCTGGCTCACATCTCCCTGCAGCCCAGGAGAGGCAGCCAGGAAAGCTTCCTAATGGCTATTTCACTCTGTCTTTGTAGTAGTGTGATAAGGAGGGGCATGTAGATTGCAGGGTTAGTAAGCAAAAGCTCATTATCTTGATTGTTTTACACTCCACTAGACAGAAGCAGATCCCTGGACTCAGCCCGGCACCTGCCAAGCCGTGTTCACATCTGGGACCCATGACTCTCTCCTCCCATTCTGCCTCAGCTCACCAAGGTTAAACTGCCTTCTTTTGAATGCTCTTGTCTTTCCTAAGCAAGGCAGAAGAGGTCCAGGGCGGCCCTGTATTGGAGCCGAGAACAGACTCCAAAATATTTCCATAATTATCTTTGCATTACCAAGGATTTTACAAGTTGGACAGAAAAGTGTTATTCCAGGCTCTGGCTTGGCAATTTAAGTTATGTGACTCTAAAAGAAGTTTTTAAAAAATGTCTTGTATCTCTGTCCAGCACTGGTTTTTCCCTTACTCAACAGTCAAAATATTTTAAAACAGTTCTGAGAGGATGAAAATTTCTCATTGAGGGGCTGGGGATTTTGCTCAGCGGCATAAGCACCTGCCTTGCAAGCAGGCAGTCGTGAGTTCGATCCCTGGTACCGGTAAAAATGAAAAAGACAAAAAAAAAAAAAAAAAAAAAGAAAAGAAAATTTCTCATTGAAAAGAGAACTTAATTTATGGAAAAGCAAGAAATCAAAAGCAAAGAAATATACTTCAGCCCCTTTATGCCAAACTATGTTTTTAAAAAATCTTTTTCATTTTTTTTTTAGTGCCAAGGATCAAACTCATGACCATGTGCTTACCAGGCAAGCACTTGAGCCACTGAGCTAAATCCCTGGCCCACCAAGTCATGTTTTTAAAGAGAATTAGGAACCATATTCTGTGCTATTTTATAGGTCTGCTGTGTAAATAAGGTGAGGTCCATTGAGTGGCCATCCTTCCCCTCCTTGGAGGACATGGGAGCTCTCATTTCCTCCACTCTACGGACACTCTGCCAGTGCCCATGTGGCCAGTGCCCATGTTGTGCTCCTATGCATAGACAGCAGTTCTGCCAGCTGGATGTAGGCATTCTGACTTCTCACTCTTCCTGCCCCACCAGGGCCACTCAAGAATCACCATCCCGTGAACCCATGCTTTGGGTCTGTTCTGTATTACTATAACACGATACCTGGATCACCTCCTAAAGCAAAGAGGTTCACTTAGCTCTCCAGTGGCCTCCTTGTTGGCAGTCTCAGAAGGTACAGGGCTTTCAAGTGAAAGAGGGAGCCTGTGTATGTGTTCCAGTTTCTTCTTATACAGCCATAGGGGTCACCCTAGGGCCCCCAC